CATTATCTAAAGGAAAGACCATGAAAAATATTCTTGCAAAATCTAAAAATGTACACCAGAGCCTAACTAAGGCTCTTTAAAAATAAGTTACGGCCTATCTTATTATAACTTATATAAATTTTTTTTAATTTATTCTTTTATAACTGTGTTTCTTAATAGTTTTTTAATGTTCCCCAAACCATTGACATGCTCTGCCGCCTAATTGATTTAGAATTGATACTTACCCTCTGTGTCTCGTAATGGCAGCCGTAGAAACATGCTCAAAAAGTAATAATCAGCAGACACATTAATTATATTAAACCGATTTGAGCGCCTTGGGGGCTGTCTGCCTGCCTGATGACTGGAGGAGACTGGGCTTAGCTGGTTGACTCATTATGGTAAAGACATGTGTTAATTTATGTAACTTTCCCAAAACTGCCATTGTGACGTTCATTAATCATTTTAGTTTTTGTTTTTGTTTGTTCGTTTCAAGATTTTCAAGTTGGCCTCATGTCTGGCACGGAGCGCTGCCTACTCTTTTATGTTATTTTTAGTTAATTGTTTGCGCTGTAAAATGTTTATGCGTTTTTGGCCAACAGCTCGATTCGGCTTTGACTTTGCCTTTGCCTTTGCCCTCTTTGACTAATGTGTGCCGCGTGTGTTCACGTTTTTGTCTCAATGATTTATAGTTTTCCGCTGGACAAAGTCATTTCTGCTTCGGCAGCGGTTTCGTGTGTCCGCAAAACAAATCAATCATATCGGAAATTAATTTTGATAGCCACATAAAGCTTGTGATATAAAGAAAAAAACACTGGAAAAGTAGATACGAAAAACGAAATAAATTATTGCAACACAGAAAAGTTGCCATTTTTCCAGAATTTATTTTTTTTTTTGGTAAAACTTGCTAATGGATTTGAAGATATAAAAACTATTTATAAAAATCCTTATAATCTTAATAAGCCCATAAAAAATTGTCCAACTAAATGATTTGTTTTTAAGTACTCCTTCTTTAAAGTAAGGCTTAACCAATTTATAACTCATATTGTGAAAAATACAGCAATTTTCCAGTGAAAAAGTAGCAAAGCGAAAGTAAGCAGCTCCACGGATTTGCCCGTTAGCCAACTCTACACTGGCCTGCATAATTACGGTGCGTATGTGCCCCAACATTCAATCTGCTTGCCCCCTCCCGACAATCTTAAGTTTAAAAACAAAACCCCTAATCAGCATTAAAGCCCTCAGAGCCTATTATTAAGTTGATTACAATTTTGGATAAGCAAAGGCAGCCAAAATGCGGTGCTATGTGTGGGTAACACCCCAGCGATCGCCGAGAAGTGAAGATCATTTTGCACGACTTACGATTTACGAGTATATATATACACTTACATATATATAAGGCCAAGGGCTAGAGCCGTGGATAATGACGATGAGTGGATGGTAGCTTCTACTCTCTCTCGCAGAAAATACAGACTGCCCCACCATGGAGCCCATCCATCAATCGTGATGGATAACTGACAGTTTGGGGCGTTTCGGGTTCTCAATTTTCATGGTCAGCTCCTTGCTGAAATAAAGAAAAATTCCATTTGCCCGTCAACCCAATTTGTTGGTCATTAATCATATAATATATATATATATATATATTTAACCCATTAGTAGCTGAACTTATTTGGCTGTTTAAATGTTGCATTGACCCATTGGGGGGAAAATTAATTTGATTGCGCATGTGCCAAGAAAATTGGCATAAATTAATATGGCCAACAAATTTAATTAGCCATAAATCAATGAGTTTATTAAACAGTAGCCAGCAGCCAGCAGCCAATCATGCCATAACGTTTTCCACCAATAAACTGCCGCAAATTGGCTAATACCAAATGGCATTATATGTCGACCCCAAAGTTATGCCCCTGGTTTCCCACTCTCTCAATATCTATCGCCAACGCCCACAAGTCTCGCTGCGCACATTAAAAATCAGTTAAATTCAGTAACACTCACCACCCCTCCTGCCCTCTCCTTGTCTCAAACAAAAATGTCCATAAACAATTTCCATGGCAAAAAGTCCAACTCACTGTAGAATCGAGGGACCTCTCACTGTGCCGGCTGTCGAGAGACGCAGCTGGATTCGAACTGGTTATTATATGAACGGACAGTGGTCTCTGTATGTGCGGTTGGATGTGCCACCAAAAGCCATTTGGCACATACATTTCAAACATTTATGGTTATTATAAAGCATTTAACATTATTATGGATGCCATGGGGCATCTGTTACAATCTGACGGCGGACCAGCAGTAATAGCTGCAACACAAACACCGGCAGCTACGCAAAGCGGCAGCCAGCCGTGTGCCACCAAACAGCCCATATAGTCGGCTTAAATAATCACTCTGCGGTGTAATTAGCAAAATATTTATTGATATTCCGTAAAGTGTGTACGAAAAATGTATATGCAATGCAATTGGCCAAAATGCGGCATTGGAAGATAAAGCCCAACTGGATTTTGGCTTTCAAATTGATCTTGGGGAAAATCAGTTTTCTGATTTTACTGGCAATTTGAATGTTTGAGTGTTGGTTATGATTTTTAAACTTATATGATACATTGTTGTTTTCTGTTTATAATTGCATATATATTTTTAATAGCTATTTAATTTTGCTTATAATTTTTTAGAGATTTCTAACAATGAAACGTCTTTGGGAAATACCTAGAAAGTGTCTCTTAGAAAAACTGCAAAACTTCCTGATTAGATCCAGTTATTTAAATTTAAGTTTATTACGAAAAGAACTCTTTATATTAGCACTTTAGTACCCCCTAATTGATTTGGCATTGTGTGCTTATTAGACTGGACACAATCTCCTACCGAATCAAGTTTATTTATGTTTCTCGAAAAACGTTTGGCAAACGCAAAAAACTCAAAAACGAGCAAAAACTTGACAAATAAGTTACGCTTAATTTTCTGGCAAGCGTTTAAAAAACCGAAACACGCAACAAGGCAGCCACCTAAAGCAAAAGCCATTAAAAGCGACGCGACACTTTTGATAACAAAATTCAAAGCCCAAAACCGAAGCCAAAATCGAAGCACAAGATCAGCTTGGAAAAAAATCAAGCCAAACTTACTATACTATATATATATATATATATACCGAATCGGAGGGGCAGGCAGGCCATAAACATTGAATTTTACGACGCTGTGTGGTCTCGTTTGACATATTGTGGGCTTTACGATTCCAAAATTAATGACACCATAGCCAAAGTCAGGTAACGGGCATTTGGATTGGGGGCGCCCTCCTCTCGGATTTGACTTGGCTGGTGCCATACCGGTTTGTAAATTTGTTTTCTGTATTTTTGTTGTTGTTTTTTTAAAACGACAGCCTCATCAGTTAATAAGACACATACCCATTTTTATGGCATTAAACGACGACAAGTGAAACATAAAATATATATTTACTTTATTTTTATGCGCCGATAGTCCGCATTTTGGAGCTCTCAGCTCAAACCTCACTTGACAAAGCAATTTGCATTGCAAATTGATCAACGCGTTTGGTTAGTTTTCTCGGTTTTCTAACCAAAAATTCATTTCGTTTTGCGTTTCGGTATCGGTGTCTGTGTTTTTTTTATTGCTTTGATTTCATTTCAAATAAATCGTAATCAACTAAATTTACGACCTGAGGCAACAGCGCGACTTCACATTCCCTTGAAGCTTTGCTTAATTAATTTCAATTTCATTTTTTTATTTCCGAAATTTATGATTCAATTGCATTTGGTGGCATGTAAATTTCTCATTCGAGCTCATTAAATGCCCGAAAAGCATTGATTGAGAGTCGTGATTAGCGGAAATTAAATACTAATTTAAATACAAATCGAATAATTTCCTTGAATGTGAATATTGATATCTGATAATTTCGGTTTTTATATTAAATATTTGTAATAAAGTACTGAAATGTTTGAAAGATGTTTGTTCATTGGGAAACATTGCTTAAAAGTAAGTTAATATTTAATATTTAATATAACAAATAATAAATATATAAATGCTCACTTTAAACCTGAACTTGCAGCTATGAGTCAATCGATCTCAATTAATCATTATTTGCAAAATAAAACAAGAAAATCCGGCGAAAAAATGCCATAATAAATATAAGTAATAGCCGCTGCAATTTTCGCACTATATCTTGTATATTATATAATGTAGAAAGTGCGTGCCCGTACAAATACATGGAACGTATAAAAATAATAAATTACTTTTGGGAAAGAGAAGGAGAGGGAGGGGAGTCCCCGGTCGAGAAGGGATTTTTGTGTGGAGCGTTTATTATGCGCACAATAAACGCGGCGGGCGCAGCGGCGACATAAATTAAATTTATGATGCTTATAAATATTCCACAGTCATTTGTAATACAGCAACAAACGAGGGCAACAGGATAACGCAAGGATGTGCCGAGCCTGTCTGTTAAACAAATTGTAGCCAAATGGTATGAGCAGCTACTGAGGGGATGAGGGCAACACAAACACACAAGAGCTAGGGAGATATACATATATATTTGATTTATGGGTATGCGAGGATGAATAAAGGACTTCCAACTCCGAAAATCCAATTGCCACCACTGAAAGTGAAAAGAAATCGTCCATAAAAAATCGCTAGATGTGCTCAGATATATAAATATATATCTGAATAATGTGCATGCATGAATTTGTGATTCAAGTTTTCAGCCACCTGAAATAGCAAACCGAATAGATGCTGGCTAATTTATGGATAAACCGCACGAACATGATTTATCATCATCGGATTTTTGTTTTATTCGATTTTTTATTCTGACCCAAATTATGGTTTATGCGAATTTGTTATATTTTGTTTACGGTTTGTGCTGTTAAGTTGTCAAATTAATGGTTATATACTTTGTAGATTGTCATAAATATTTGATAAAATATTAAAAAGAAGACAACATTTCAGTTTTCATCAAGTTTTATCAGTTCTCTTCAAGGAGTAGGAGACTTTCTAGCACCCTTTTAGAGATTTAAAAGAAAACTTTTAACTTTTAATAGTATTTGCCTGATTTATTTTGGTATAACAACAATAGGTATTTGGTACACTTTCAATAGGGGAAGGAAAAACAAATAGAAATTTCAGAAGGCAACTCAGTGATAGCCGTGTCCGTGCTCGAAGCCGTGATCATGACCATGGCTGTGTTCCATGTCCATGACCATGATCCTGTTTTAGGGAGTAGCTGTGAGAGCTGCTGCCGTGTCCGTGACCATGGCCATGGCCATGTCCTTCGTGTCCGTGGCCATAGTCGTGTCCGGAGTGGGAGATGGAATGCTCTTCGAACTCAACGTGTCCGCCCTCATAGCCGCTGTGTCCATGACCATGGTGCTCCACCTGATGGTGATCGTGGAGCTTCTCGCGATGGACCTGGGCCTCGAATCCCTTGTGCTTGTCGGCCGTATAGTGGACAGTTCTCTTGTGACCGTCGGCATCGATCAACTCGTAATGTCCGGTAACCTTGTGGCCATGTCGTGATTCGCTCTGCGACTTCACATCACCAGTCTTGTGATCCTTGACTCCGTAGTTAAAGTCGTACTCGGCATGCGAGTCGTGGTGTTCCTCGTGTCCGTGATGATCGTGATGATGACCGTGATGTTCCTCGTGATGATCATCGTGGGATGTTAGATGTACGGAGGCGTGACTGGTGGCTCCGCCATGATGACCATGATGTTCGTGGCCATGGAAAGGAGCTGCCCGAATGGCCGCAATGGCCAGCAGGGCAAAGGCAATGCAAAACTAAGGAAGATCAAGGGATATATTAGATACCCTTAAATAGTTATCCTTTAAGGGAAACCCACCTTTTGAGCCATGGTACCGCAGCTAGTTTATGAGTTGATCTTAGCTGGACTACTGTTGTCTGATCACCAAGCCGAAGTGAACTGTACTAAATCACCTTTAACCCGGCCTTTATATAGGTTGCACTAGTTCGACCCAAAAGCTTGAACTTTCAAAAAAGAATGGGTAAATCGGTCTTTAGCTACGCCCCAATTTGCAGTTCAAGTTCAGTTCATACTTTCGCCCCAGAGACGTGCAATTATATCCGACGGACAGTTCGAACCTTTTATTTTAGCTGCTGTTTCGGAAATCGATAAAAAACGAAAGGTAAAATAAGAAAGATGGTAAGAAAAGAATGGCTGTGTAGTAATTCATTGTAAAATTTACTGTCCCAACAATTGCCAATTTAAAGTGGCATTGTTTATGCATCGCATCGCTGTCGTTGTCGGGCATTATAATCCCCCGGCTACGGATTCGGATTTGGATTGGGATTGGTATCGGGATATGTGGGCATAGCCAAGAAACAAACGAGCCAAAAGATTTATATGCCTGACAAACGTCGCTGAGTCGTTGACGTCAATCAGGCCTGACAAAAAGTCATCAGAATTGCAGTTTGCAGTTCTCCCTCCACAGAGTCGCTTCTTCATTTTGGCCAGATCGGAAAGGCCCGTCTCCATGTTTCCCCACTCCTTGATCTCAATCCCAATCCTGATCCTTACTTTCTGGGGGCTTTCGTACCGCCAGCAGTCAGCCTGTCAGCAGTCAATCGGCTACCGTCTGTCAATGTCGTGTCGCCTTCATCAAAGGCCACATTCGAGTTGACAATGGGGATATTGGTTCTGTTTCTGTAATCCGCAAAGGATAAGGATTTTCGAAAGTGCTTGGTTCTGAAAGAGGAGTCAGGCTGATGTCAAATGGGAGGGGAGAGAACATTGCTGAATGCAATTTGCATTTGATGCGTGAATTAGCTGGGAATGTTATAATTGGATGAGAAAGAAGGGATAAGGGAGTTTTAGGACATGGCTTATGCAATTTTTAAACATTTTTGTTGACATGAATGAGTAGTGTTGATTTCGTAACCATTTTATACAATTGCCAAAAAACTACTGTATAAAATTCCTATTTCCAACACAATTTTCCCACACAATTTCCCAAAGAGCCTTCCAAGCTGTCCCCAAAACCTCATATTGATCTCATTATACGGCTAGCCATCGTTTAATTGATTCTGATTATGGTAACTGGACCTATGCATCCATAAGTCGAGTTTCCTTTGGGCTCGATGAAATCCCCTTCGTTTCATCAACGAAATTGCCCTTATGGCAATTTAACATACGGTTGCAGCAAGTTGCAAGTTGAGAGTTGCAAGTTTTCGTTGCCATTGCCATTGCGAATGCCGACTCATCGTTGTCAGTCAAAGGGGCAAAACGAAAGGCTGCGTTGTTCGGTTCGCTGGTTTCGTTGTCAGTGTCATTGCTGGCTGCGTTTTGTGGGCACATTTCGGCTGCTTGATTACTCATGTCAATCAGGCTTCCAAACAGCGACGACATGCTGTCAATCTTTGTGTCATGGCCGCTAAAGTTGTTGGTCGGATGGCCGGTTGCTGGAGTTGGACAACAAGTACGCTTGATTGCCAGTCGGCCCAAAAGGCTGGGTAAAGGGTAAATACAAAAAAAAAAAAAAAAACGGACGGAAAAAAGAAGCGATGGGGAAAACCGATGATGCCACAAAGGTGCCCAGTGGCAGTGACAGGACTGTAGCTGTAGACCAGTACTTGATGTTGCTGCCGTGGCCATTCGATTGATGTGCATTGTATGTAAATTGGGCGGTCGTTTTCGCATTTGATGCCCTGTCAAGGGATAATCAACAGCAGCAGTGGCAGTAGCAGTGGCTGTGGCAGTAGCAGATCAACAACCGCAGACAACGAAGGGACAACTTTAACATTGACTACCAATCGTTGCAAGTTGCAAGTAGCTCAACTCATTATGCGTTCTCGCATACAAAATTGTTTTTCCACTGTAACGAGCCTAAGAAATACGATCAAAATGCCTCGATAATTTTTAACCACAGCACCAACGACTACCATCAATATCCTTCGCCGTCGTCATCCTGCCGAAAATTGAAAACGACAACGTTGAGGGCTTGTTGACAGATACTCATTTGACAGGACCCCATCAACTGTCACTGCCAAGCGAAACATAAACTGAAGCGAAACAGCAACCGACTACGAATATCGAATTTAATCACGATTGTGGGGAATGAAAGAGGCATATTGTTTGACATGGAATGTCCTTTAGGCAGTGTCCTTTATAATTGGAACTTTTTTCAACTCTTAGTTAAAATATTTTAAATATTATTAAAGGGATTTGTAAACTAGAAAGTATTTTTCATTTCCAAAAAATGTATACATTATATTGTCTCTGCTGATAAATGCACTTAAACTTTAAATTTATCTATAACTTTTCTATTTCCCTGTACCTCTAGCTATATCCAATGTTGACAATAAAATATCACCACGACAAAGAGGAGGGAAAAAATGCGTTAAGACAATTCACAGCAATTGCGATTGAACAAGAAACTGGTTGGCAGGCCATAAAGTTAGCTGTAATCGGTAATTGCGATAAATAAAGTAAGTGGCCAGGTACGAGGTGTTGCTACATCCAGAGGGGGTAAAGGAGGCCAACCCCCCGTATCCCCTCTTCTCTAGCAATCCCAAGGAGTGTTGACAATTCTCGTCAATTACGTTGTAATGCGTTTGGTACGTCGTCGCTGCCTTGACGTTCCAGTTGGGCCACTTGATGCATTGCTTGACACATTATGATGCTTGATTTGTTGTCATGGCAATTTTGCCACCATCCTGACCAGGCCTCAAATGGCATCTACCCAATCTTCACCTCTCTCCATGTCAATCTCCAGAGACGCTCCGCGGACGCTGTGTAATGTGAATTTTTCACTATGGACAAATGAGTTTGTCGCGGCCTTTTTGCGTTATAATTACAAACGTTTTTTTTAAGAGTTTTTCCTAGTTTCTGTTGTCTGTGAACAAAAATAGTTGGCAAGGCAACAACATTGCTGAGCTTACCAGTTATTAATGGTTAAGTCTGGTCATGTTGGTATTTATCAGGTTGCTTATTTATCCTCTCCGTCTGGCAATTTGTGATCGTTTTCTTGTTGTCCCTTAATTATTTGCTGAACAAGTCAGCTATTTATGAGGAATTTCTAATGTGTTTTCGGAATGCAAATAGAAATTACAAGTATTGTGAAAAGATTTTAAGACTTAAATAGTTTTCTGATTTATTTTTTATAGCAAGAAACCGTTGGAGTTTATGGGTTACATGATCAAAGAAGAAGTTTAGCTTATGGCCCGCTGACTTTCCCATACCTCTTAGCCAGCAACTAAGCAATCGCCATTAATTAATCAATACCAGAACTGCAAGTGTGTGCAGACAGGAAAGGCTTTTTAATAAAAGCGAACTAAGCGAATCGAAATCAAAGTGACTGTAATTGATTGTAAAGGCATTTTTGAACTGAGCCGCCAAATAGGTTTAATAATGGAGCGTATCGCATAATCACAGCACTCGTAATTGCCTCCCATGGACTCGATCGGAACAGTAGCTGGATATATAAGCAAATTATGCATGCTACCAGTCAAGATTGGATTGAAAGAGTTTTTCACAAAACGTCTTACCAGTCATTATAAGCACTTGTCATTAATGACATTTTGGTCGCCGATACTTAAGACATTATCTCTCAGGTCTCACGAGAGAATAGGAGTCGTGTTTTGGTGGGGGAAAGAGAAGAGGAAAAAAAAGAAGGCAAATTGTGTAGCATTTCCTGCCACTTGAGGCTCCGTTTCTCATCTGATCTTTGGCGGCGGCAACCAATAATTATATGCGCCATAAACGCTTTGTCATCTCGCTATCGATGGGGGCCTAGAAAATGCAGATTAATGCCCGCTTCTGGCTCGCCTGGCCTTTTGTCATGAGCATAATTTTCTCATCGATCTTGTGATTAATCATAAATTGTACGCTTTGGGGTCCATAGCTCCAGAGCTCTTTTGTGTCTGAAAGCCGACACATGTGCTTCATTAAAGTAACTTCTTTTTCTTTTTCTTCCTTTTGTATAAGGTGGCTACGGCGGCGTCGGCGGCGGCGGCGGCGGCGACTCATATAGATTAATTTGAGGCCTGTGGGGGCCAGTGAGAGATCACGTTCGATTACATCGGCTGCCAGCTACCAGTGTTCCACATTTGATCGATCTATCAATGATATGTGGGCTATTATAATGGAAATAAATGGTATGATTGTTGGGAGTCTGATATGGAAATCTGCATGTTTTATGTGAAAGAAATACTTGAGAAATATTTAGTTTTGTGGCGAATGATTATTCCTGATTGTATCTGAAAAATCATTATAAAAATTAGAAACTGCAAAAGGAACTTTCTGATTACATTTACATTAAGGGTGTTTTCTATTTTATGTAAATTTTAGCCACTCAGTAGATCCTGGTCTAATTTGCATACCTTTGAATCGATTAAATTGAAAGGCTGTCATCATTCTCCCAGATCAACCGATAATTTAAATTCGCTCCCCTGAGAGGTACAAAAGAGCACCCAATTAGTTTGCAATCTCGGTGACACCCGAGGGAATAAATCAGGTATAGAAAACCCCAAATAGAACAAAGTTTGTCAGCTTTTGGTTTAACAGATGCCTGGTCTAATCAGTGGCCAACAGATCTGCACAACAATAGGTGCATAGTGATGCATATCGTGTTACCTTCACCTTGCCTCTGCCATCAAAGTTGTGTGAGCCAAAGCCGACAAAACTAAACCATATGTATACCCATAGACCATATATACGATACCAATTGTAGGGGATTAGCTGAGTGGTGGAGGTACGACGGCTCGTCACTTGTAGGTATTGTTTGGTGTCTGGTCTGGAACTACCGGGTTTCCTCTGAGATCTCTATCTTAATTCGTTTGTTTTCATCAAATTACAAAATTGCGTGTGATAACAATCTGGTTGTTGAGACTGCAAACGAGGGACTGCTAATCCCTGACGAGAACTTTTCTTCTCTTATTTTTTTATTCTTCCTGTAGAGAGCTGTCCATCATGGAATTAGAGATAT